GAAAGTTTTACCGAAATCAAGAAGCTTTTATTTTCTCATAGCCACAAGGGTTTATTTCCTGTTGCTGATTTTAATTTTTTACAGTATAGAGCTTTTCTTTCTAGGCTTTATCTGAAGTAATTCCTTTTATTGGCAGATGATCGTGTTTGTTTAGAAGAAGAGGATGACCGTGCCAGTAAACGACTGAAAAGGAACGGGAGTGCTGGTCGAGTAAACGACGGGTTGACGAGAGTTGAAAGGAGAAAGCAGAAAGCTGTTGCAGTCGCAAGTAGGATGAAGAGAGTGATTTTTAAGAAAAAAAAAGGGCATTTTTAGTGTTCGCCTGCTTTTATTCTTTTATTATAAATGTTTACATCTCTGATGTGCAAGTTACTTGATGTCATTTTTGGGAGATAATTATTCTTTTTCTCTAGGAAGGTTGGTAAAAAGGCGACAGGGTCTGTGCATGAAATCATTTTTGCATACGAAAGGCGTGAAGCACGTCGGAGAAGTATATATGAACGTTCTCTAGGTTTTGCACTTTCCTTGGGGTCTTGAAAACAAACATTTTGCTGATGAGTGAAGGGTATTATCGTGATGCTCACTCTTTGAAGGGAGTTCTGTCTTTCATGCTGAAAATCTGCACGTTTGTAGGGGGCAAGGCGTAGGTAGAACTTGTCCATTCCTGTCTGTGCACGTTTTACTGAGGACTTGTAGAGGTTTGGAGTTGATATGTATCTTTGGGCGGTGGGGGTTTTAGAAAGGTTAGGGACTTCTGGATTTCATGAGTGAAAAATAACGGAGAAATAGAAGGTATTTTTAGGGGATTAAGCATGAATCACTGCAGCAGGGCAGCTAAATTACGGGCCGATTGGTTTCAGAACTTCAAACGGCGTTGGTTGGTTGGTGATTGTATCGGGACAATTAGCAAAACGCATTGTGGGGGAAATCGAAGAATTACAGATCATTGCGGCTTCTCGGGAGGAAGTTCCCGGAGGTGCTGCAGAATTGACTTCTTGAGAGGACCAAAAGAAAAGCGCTTTGTAAGGAAGATGTTGGAATGCACGTGAATTGTCATTTCCGTCATCTTTATATATGTTAGCAGTGTTGTCACCATCACTGGGATTAGTGCCATTTTTCTGGACCTCAATTTTTGTAGCTCCGTCGATTACTTGTTTTATTGTCGAATCACTTCAGTGTTTCAAATCATGCCCAGCTGACAACTTCAGATTTGTTATTTTAGATCTTGAAGTGTATGTTATTTGTGTCCATCGAACTCATCTGTTATTTTTGTACCAACACTGAGCTAGAACGAGAGCTCACGATAGTTGCTTACTTTAGGATCAGGTTAAAAATGAAAAATTGAATGAAAAAAATTAAGTTTAGTTTCCGCGGTTGTTAAAAGTCTCCCATCCGCACCAAAGTAAGATTGCTACTAGATAAAGAAGATCGAGGACGAAAGAGTCTGGAATCTTTGCGAAATTTAAAAGATACAAAGAAAGCTGTGGTTTGTAAGGGCTAATTGCCGCAGTAGTAGCAAAGAGTAATCAAAGACCTTCTTGCGCATTCCAGAACAGCAGCTACAGTTGTTGTTCTTTAGCTTGAGAAATTTGTCAATTATCTATGACAGGCTGCTAAAGTACTAGGGACGAAAGGCGGTGAATTTATGTGTGGTGGGAAGGTTCTTGAAGAACTTCTATTATTTGGACACCAACACGAGTGAAACTGGGAATATTTTGAACTTGGATAAATGAGTCTTGTAAAGTAAGTATAAAGCAACGAAATACGCACGGTACAGATTATACAAGAATGGGGTGGAGAAACTGCAGTGTATGATGTACATAAATATAAAACATTGGGAAGCAGGCGCCTGCAGTGGCTTATGTCGCGAAGCACGCGAAATGGCTTCAAGGGCTGGAATGGTAACGAACCAGACATGACCCTGGAAGAGCGCTCTTGGAGGCCCTGCTAGGAGATTATTGTCGAATCGAAACGTTTAAAAGGGACATGGTAAGCCACAATAGTTCTTCTCTCATCGTCGCCACTGACATTTGAAACAAGTGATCGGTAGTCAGCAGCTTCATCTATTTGCTTTAGCTACCATTGCTCACTGTTGTAGTTGTCGCGACCGCTTGTGAAAGACACCGTAGAAAGATTAAGGTCATTGTAGCTCCCTGTGGAGAAGCTCTCGGAGGGGTCGCAGAGTGACCGCTTGAGCGGACAAAAGCGAAGTATAAAAAAGGCAGTAATTGGGAAACAGTTCAGTGTTGTTTTATTAGAATTCGCTCCGGACCAGTACAGGCCGCTCATCTGCGACTGTCTATGTCAGTTTATATTACTATTTTCTGTCAATATGTGCCCACTAGGCAGCTTTTGATCTGTTTAACTGATCTTAAGTTCTCATTTATAATTTATATTTCTCTTCTTAGTATATTACTGAGTGTGGACTAGTGACAACCAGAATTTTTATTTGTGAAATATAAAGGTGAAGTAAGAATAAAAGAGTTGGCCTGTAAGAAAGGGCTCCAACATAGTGTTATAATGTTGCCTTAATACATTCATTCGGTGTAAATCACTATACTTGCCTTTAGTGCAAATGTAAGCTCTAACCTCCTGTCAGTATATTTTGATCTATGTCTTTTAGAAGCCTCTGTATAAAAGCTCCTCTATTGCCTTAAAGTTTTGAGTGTCTGTTCAGTTGTTACTCTATGTTCATCGTCTACCACCCCACGCGATACTTAACAACTGACGATCAGGATGATGGTCAATTCTTAGATCAAATTGAAGCCACGTTTTACCGCTTAGGCTCCTGACTCTTTTGATCCGGCAGTGGATGGTGTGGAGTTTTGGCTAGCAAGGTCTGACGTTTTTATTACGATTTCTCAGGTGGAGGATCAGTTTAAGGGTTTTTATTTACTTGATGCTTTGTCTTCAAACGCGTATCATGTGTTAGCGGCGTTTGTGAAGCATGGATGTGACGACTTTGACGTATCAGGCTTTGCGCGCTAAGTTGCTTGAGATGTACGCAGCAAAGAAGTTCTTGTTTTTGGAGCGTTACCATTTTTTTAAATTAGAACAAGAGTCTCGGAGTCATGTAGAACTTGCCACTTTTATTAAAGAAGAAGCTGCTTTTTGTGAGCTAGGCGATTTTTACGTTTTGGCTCTCGCTCTGGTGTTCACAATGGGCATTAACGACGTCTCTCTGCGTGAGAAATTTCTGGAGATTGAGAATTGTACTCTGGAACAGGCTTTGTCGATAGCACAAAAGAAGGAGAACATTGCAAGGGAGTCTGTAATTATTAAGAACGAGAATGCGCCTCAGGTTAATTCTATTCCTACTATTGCTGCAGTGCTGTCTCAATCACCATTTCACAATCTTGGCAATTGTCTTAGCTGTGTAGGCCAACATACGCGACAGACTTGTAAATTCCGCGACGCAGGATGCTTGAAATGTCACAAAAGAGGCCATATCCTTCGGGCATGTAAATCAACTATTTAGACTAGTCCAAAAAGTGCAATATTCGGCAAAGGGCTGCTAATGCACAGGATCCGTTTTTAGTTCAGGGCAGAGCAACACGAAGAGCCAAAGGTGCAGTGTCTCGTCACCACATAAATAAAATTTAGTCAGCGTTGTCTGCACATGGTGTTACAGAGAATCTCAAAACAGGATGGCTCTTTGTTACCCTAAAATCAATGGACATTTGGTAGAAATTCAGATAGATACTGGGTCCTTTTATATTATTCTGAGTGAAAGTTGCTGGCAGCATATAGGTTTCCCCAAACTAAACCCAGTAACTGTATGTGCTCGGAATTATTCAGGTAACCCACTGTCATTCAACGGTGAATTTCAAGCAGTAATTTAGTACCAGAATACTTCAAAATCCTCCACCATCTGAGTTTCAGAGTTAGCCCGTGATAGCATCTTGGGACGTGACTTAATTTTCGCGCTTAAGTTAGACCACGTCCCTTTGAATTTTTTTTGTAATGCCATTTCAGAAAATACAATTCTTCTGAAACTATACTATGAATTTCTGCAGTTATGTACCGAAAAGTTGGGACGCTGTACTCAAATGAAAGCTCGGTTACAAGCCTGGAGCTGTTCCTGTTTTTCGTCAGGAACGACCAGTACCTTATGCTATTAAATCAGCAGTTGAGCACGAATTAAACCGATTAGTTAAGCTAACCGACTAGTTAAACCCATTGTTTGCATTAGACTGACCTCCATCTTGCGAACCTTGCTGTACTTGCACTATTTTGAATATGATGAGAACATTTAAAACATTTAGAAACGAAGTTACACACTAGGTTCAAAAGAACTATAAATATGCTGACGCGGATCCACACTCAATAACAACCTTGGAATCTTTTTCCTCATTGAATGGCGGGTCTGGTGGAGTAAAGCAGTATGCTCGCGCTCTTAATCGGCCACTCCTATTGGATTTCGATGACCGTTTTTTGTTCTCACTCGCCCTCTATTCCTGGTTTGACTTCCTTTAAGCGTCCTGCTTTCTTGGTCCGGAGCTTGGATCTGATTAGTGTGCCTTACGATTTGTTCCCCAGAATTGGTAACTAGCTTGCACAAAACTTTCCTTCTCCTACGAGTGATGACGGCAGGCGTCCATTTCTGGGAAGTATTATACAGACGAGCATATACAGCGTCATGCACTTGGAAAGCTCGGAGTCTGGCTCCATGGAACCGGTTGAAGTAAAAAGACAAGTCAGCTGTTTTTTCCAAAAACGGCGCCGGAGGAAGCAGTAAATCTAACAAAGAACAAAGTTTCCGTCCTTGCAATAACATAGTTGGAGGGTCATTGCGGTAGTGGTTAAGGAAATCACGAATATTGGGAAGGCTTCGCTAAGTCTGTACTTGCTTATCACGATTTAGATTTCACGTTGGAAAAGAAAGGTGTTCTTTTGCAACATCGTCTGTGAATTATTCAGGTCTTATCGTCAACTCCGAGGGCGTTAGACCAGACCCAGAAAAAGTTACAGTTATTCAATACATGCCATTGCCATCAGATGCTTTTTCTGTTCGTGCGTATCTTGGATTTTTAAATCATTCTGCGAAATTTGAAAAAAAAAATCACTAAAGAAAAAATATATATATAAAAAAATACAAAATCAATACCAAAGTTACGGAGAATTAGCATTTTGACCGTAGCATGCTGGCTCTGCTCTATGTGTTGGGGTTGATAAGGTGCACGGCTGAACAGACGGTTTCTGTATAGGCAAGCACTAGACAGCCTGCGTAAATGCAGGGCAAAGCATGCATCAGCACCCTTAGGGAGAAATCGTAAGTTAAGCAACAGTTACACACTGGTGCAACAGTTACTCATTTATGAAGATTCGAAGGTCGGCTGAAACTTGGTTTTATCCCTCAAATATTGCAAGTACCGTAACGGAAGGGTAGGCTTAGGTTAACTGGAAAATAAATAAACCACATGTGTTGCTTTGTCAATATCATGCCTTCGCATTTTTTACAGTTTCGTTCATTAGCCGGGAGAGCGTGTATAGCCTTGAGTTTAAAAGCAGATGAAACATTATGAAAAAAAAAAAATTTGCTCAGTCTAAACTTTTCTAGTGTACCATTTGTCCACTTAACTGCTTTTTTTGAACCAAACAATTAATTTATCTTAAAAACCACTTTAAATGAAAACGAGCAGAAAGTGCGTAAAGAAATTCAAAAGAGTCATAAATAGTAAAATTATGAGCATTGTTACAGCATCAGAGGTACTTACAGGGAGAGCAAGGAGCAACCGCCGCAGGAGATTTAGTGTAACGTCGTACACTCACGAAGCATAATCATCATTTATTTGACCACGCGGTGTCAATAATGCGTTTCTAAAGAACGCTAAAAGATTCAGAAAATGATTGGCAGCAGGAAGTTATAGAATTGGGAAACTTTACAGCGACAAAGTTGTCTTCACCACAGATTAATCAAGCAGATAAAAAACCTCAAATACATGTAAAAAAGAGAGTTAAATAGTAATAACATAGCATAACAACAGTAGCGACAAAATTTTTTTCAGTATTTTCCAAAGGAAATCTATTTGGTGAAACATTCTCAGCAAGAAATTCAGAAAGTTAGCAAAAATTTTAAAAGCAAAGAATGCATTTACAACTGACGGAAATACAGCGGTACCAAAAATGCGAATAAGTATTATTCAATATTTTGTATATTTAATGACAGGTTTTTGGTTGAGGTGCTGAAATGGACATAAGGAAATTTTCGTGGCATTTTGTACAGCAGGTCTACAGCTAGTTGAGGACAATCGAGCAAACAGTTGAGGAATTCTTTTTTCTGACCCTCTCCCACGACCGAAAAAATTTTTACTTTTTGTAGCAAGATTTATGGATTTATGTGAGAAGAAACTGTTCTACAGTTGAAGTTGGACGAACATGTCTGATACTAAGTGCAAATTTGTTTACAAATAGTGTTAGTAAAATCTGGAATAGTTGGTGAGTAATGTGGCTATGGCTTCAAATTGAAAAATTTGAAAGGATTCTGGGTAAAATTAACATCAAAAATTTTCTAGTCTAATTTTTAACTGGAATTGAGCAAATACGTAAAGAAATTAATTGATTTACTTCTTTGCTCAAAAGGTGCTCACTCAAGGACTGAGTACTGGCGAATGAGGCAAAAAATAACATAAATATTAAGAAATATAGATGATGTTAGTGAATTTTAATTTCTTAAAAAACATTTATGACAGAAGGAAAATATTGATTCCTCAATTCATCTTGATTTTTATTTTTTACTTCTTCTTCTTCTTCTCTATTATTATAATTCTATTTTTTTTGTTCTTCTCATTTTTGTAATTTGTGTTGAAGAGGTACGTGTTTTGACCCAAGCGGTTGTGATAAGGAATCTAGAATTCCTAGAAATAAATGATATATTCCTGTGTTATTTCTCTATTTCTATGTGTTTTTTTATTTATTAGCTACTGCATAAAAAGGAGATTTTTAATTCACGTAAAAGAGTAAAAGTAACACCAAAGTAAAACAAACCATCTGAAGTATTGAAATGGTTGATGAATCAATCCCAAAAAGTTTCGATTAAACGTACTTTCTTTACCAACGTACACAGAACTATTGCGATAACGACTAGCTTGACATCTTTCGACATCATTTATAGAATCTCCAGTGTTATGCTGAAGGGTGCTTCCACGTATCTCAAGCAGCTTTAAGAGCTGGCCATCTAGTTTACTAACACCAACTTCAAAAGATACAGTTAAGCGAACGCTCAGTACTAAAAAGAAATCTATGTAAGTGAAGTTAAATAAAAGACTATGCGGAAGACAAAGAAAACAGGAAAAACAGGAAACAATAAGGCAGAAAAGTCATTACAGAACCCAACAATTGAAAAACAAAATTTGTTAGTTTTTATCAGTTTCAACTGTTTTATACGTTAAAGAAGGTTTTGCTTTGGCGAATGAATGAACAATCAACTAATTAAACATCTCCCGACGCTGCTTGCTATTATCGTTTTCTAAAAATTTGACGACCAAAGAAGCCGTAAACGGTAGATTGTTTGGACGCTTTTCCTCTTATTTTAGCCTAACATTTCTTCACTCTGTTGAGTTCATTTCCTCCTCAACTGAACTGTTAGTTTATTTAAAAGTAACTGCAGTATTTTTGCGAGTACAGTTTAGACATTTTCGATATGATACCTTTGTAACTATCGGATGTAATGTTTTTATCAGTTATGAACTGGCTCATAGAATCGTTCTTTCAAGTTTTTGACAATTTTTTGCCAAATGTGTTTTAGAAGAAGAAAAATGAACAAGTCAAAAAAATCTTCTTATAGTTCACTGGCATTTTTGAGGCATTTATCGACTGTTATTGGTTCGTCTAGGGTGCAGTATGCGGCTTCTCCTTGATTTGGGCAATGAAAACCACAAAAACAATACCGAAAGTTCGAAGCGAGCATTTTAGTAGGATTTAAAAGGGTCTGTCAAGGCTTAATAGCACCGCAGTGAGGTTCAAAAGTGAAGATCAAAAAAAATTTTTTCAACTTTTTTAAAGAAAAAAACAAAAGTTTTCGAGAACAGTCTAAGTTTTTTTTAAATAACAAGTAAATACTGGTTTTTTAGTCACTTGGTAAAATTGCTACTTTGTATTGCCTGGAGCGTTACGAAAAAAAACAGTCTAACGACTTCTTTCTTAAAGAGGCAAAAAGGTATCTTTAGTTTGAAGATGGTACTGTTGAAAGCTTTATTCAGAAGGTATCCTTAGATAAGTTTAAAATTTAGCTATTCCTTGAAATATTCAACAATTATTGTGGCTAATGTATTCGCTAAGAAAAGTGAAAAACGTTAGTGATAATCCAAAAATACATTATATCAAACAAAGGGATCAAGTTAAAATAGGAGTACAATTGAATGCATACATTCAGAGTTAAAATTTTGGCATATATAAAGCTAAAAAAATTCAGTAGTACCGCACAGAACAGCTGAATTCAGCAAATCTGATATCTTCCTGAGCACTCACCGACCTTATGCACCACTTATGAAACTAAAACAGTGTATATTGTGTAGCAATGGTGCAGTATTTTGGTATACTATAGAGAAAAGAAGAAAATCGCGTAAAACCATTTTTTGTAATCAGTTTGTAAAATGAGGTACAAAATGTGAAACTTGAACAAGCTCTCATTATCTAATAAAACCATTATTAGCACTAACACTAACAGAAAGCTTGAAATGCGAGAAAAAAATGAAAAAATTGAGCAGAAAAGCTTGTATTTGAAGTGTTTCGTATAGCGGAAGCAAAACAGGTGGTATTAAAGGTAGAGTTTTCTAAAATTTCACCTACTTGTTTAGACTTTATCAGCGGTCCACTGTCACGTCAATTTTCAACTTAACTAAAATGATCTGTACCAGTGAGAACTGTACAGTAGGAAATGTATCTCTGACGTACATTAGTTTTTATCTAAACTGCATGACTTTTATCATTCGAAATTGCGACTTAAATCGTATTTGGCATAAAGACTCAAAAAACAGTCATAAGAAGGAAAGATATTGTTTTCAGAGAATTTAATAAAATTATGAATCGCTAGTAATTAGGAAGAGGTGGACGGTCAACTTTAGTTCTGTCAACATTTTCAGCTTCACTTTCTTGTATTCGCAAGGCAGCCAAATTTGCTCGTACTTTCTTCATATTCTTCTTGTGATTAATATCATAGGTTTTCTTTTTTTGCACCTTCGCACTGATACGGTCGACCATAGAAAGAATGGCAGGCAGAAATAAAAGACCGTGAAGATTACATAAAAAGACGCATAAAGTCATAGTTTTGACAAACACCTGCAAAAAATATCAAAAAATTGCTATTGCAGCGAAAAGTATTTAGAACTAAGCTATAATGCAAAGATATTTCGAATATCTGAAATCTGTAAAATAAAATTTTAGAAATTTTAGAGTTGTAATCCTTGAGTCCGCTAAATTTTGCTTGAAATTTGAAGTTATCAGCACCAGCAAATGCAAAATTCCTACCTCTGACATGTACAGTTTCACAAACAGTAGACTGCTAACACATAAAATTGTTGAAAGAGCTGCTTGCAGTGCAGGGAATGCCACTGAAGTCAGGCAGTTACCAAGACGTTCTTGAGGACTAGCATTTGGGCCACTTTCGCCTGCAAATTTTTTGTTTCCTAAAGACTTTTATTAAGCATGTGCTAAGTTTAACAAAAAAATAAAGAAAGCGAAAAAGCTTACAAGCTTTATAATAATGATAGGAAACGTGTGCCGGTATATCAACACTAAAACCAATAGAAATAATCATTGCCGCCATAGTAATTGGATCCAAATCTATGCCCCACCAAGACAGTATACCCAAAATCCCTAAAGATAGAATGTCAGTTAAACTTTATCAACTTTCTGAAATATTACTGTTAAAAAACAGAACGTTTATCGGTTCAGCAGAAATTAATAAAAAGCTTCAAAATGAAGTATCGGCGATAAAAAAACAACAAAACATAAACATTTAAATTTTAAAAAAATGCAGAATTTTTTATTCAATTTACTTTTTTCAAAAAAAATAAAAAAAAACCATTACACGAACGAGCATGCGAAAAGAATAAGGTAAAACGTTTCATGCCTACCGATACAAATTGACAAAACGCAACTCGTAGCAATTGCAACCGTGAGACTGCTTCTGAGGAATACGAAACATACTGCAGCCATACAAAAAAGTGTTCCAAGCACTGATTGCCAAGTATCCGTAGCCATATTGTCGATCAGATCCAAAAAAATACCATCTTCATGGAATACAGACGCGTGAAAAGATTTGCTAAAAATTCCTCCTGTCATTAACGTACTTTCTCCTCAATTACCCCCCATCTCTAAAAGGTAAAGAACGGTTCATTAGCGCTTGAAAGATAAAAGTGAATAAAAGAAAATTGGATTAGGAACTTACTATTCAGCTCTGTCAACTACCTTTCTCCACTTTCTTAGCAAAACTCCGCGTTCAGTCCAAATTTTCAGTTCATTGCCATGATACCCGGTCGTGAAGAAAAAACGGCTTAATTTTTTTTTGCTGCAAGAAGTGGGCTTGTTTAAAGATTTTTTGCTAACACTATCGGAAAGACATGTCATAGTCAGTGATTTTAACGTGGTTTTCTGAAACATAAAAAGCAGTCTTCAGTGTTAAACGGCGTGATCCTAAAAGCTAAAGAAAAATTGAATTTTGAGTAATTTCAACTCGCACACCAGCTAACTTGATTCATACATGCAATCAGTCAGATAACTGTTTAAAATGCCTTTGCAAGAAACGTCGTTCAGGGAGGTTTTGTTTTACATATATTCCATAAAAAGGTATAGTCACTTTAATAATCAAATTACACATCTGCTCAATATATCAAATCAATACACGTTTGCTTTTCAAGGCGCTTAGACAATGTCAGTCTAAAAATCTAAAATCGCAAAGCAGCTTCCAGTGCATATGTGTCAATTTTCTGTAAAAGTTTTTTTGTAAGATCAAATACTTCAGTGATCAATAATTTATCACTGCAGAAGCAAATGAAACCAAAGTTTTGTAAATAATTTCACCACTACCCAGAACGCTGGAAATTCCAGAAACCAACTTCCTACACCAAATTGCCTCTTCATGACAAAGTTTCACTTCTCTTAAAGTCTAGCCTTTAGCCAAGGTTCATTTTGCACGATACAGAACACCTCTTTTGATGATCTGAGCACTTTGCGTTGAAAGTCAACGGTAGCTGTGCCAGAGAGTCAAAATAACAAACTATGATATACTGTAGAGCTTTCTCCGCAAAACTTTCATTTGTACAGCGCTCTATGGACCCTTTTTGCTTTCAATTTTACCATTATATAAAGCTGAACACTTGCAACTGGCGATAATTCATTATCTTTCATGGCTGCAGAAACCACCAGTAAGATTTCTTTTGTGTCTTTCACTTCACTTCATCTACTTTTCTCTCTCCACATCTTCCTTGGACGAGCACAAAGGATTATAGCAGAAAAAAGGCTGAGCAGTGCTACAACCAATAATATATCATTTCATAGGTATTAATATAATTCATACTTTTTACTTGTCGTACTTTGTAGATTTTGCAACAGTTTCTATGGTAAAATCTCGTTGCTATAATTTTTTTGCTGTCCAATAACGGTTTTCTGTAACAGAAACTAAATTACCTAGCTGTAGGGTCCAATCATCCAGCTGAGTATTCTAGATACCGCGTACAATACACTACCGACCCTACTTTTATTTCATTAACTTAGCGCTGTTGATTGGCGACAGTACCCAAATCTCCCCATGATACTACAGCTTTCGGTAGAAGATCAAAGAATAAGGAAAATGAAGAAACGTTTTATTTGCTCAACAAACGTCAACTTCACTTTTCCTCACTTGTCTTCGCCTTCAAAGAGTATAACAAATACAGGAAGTGTGATTATTGTAAAATGAATGAACTGCAAAGTAATACCTGAAATAGCATTTTACTCGCCTATGGATTTTTCGAGCATGACTTCGGAGTTTGAGAAAAGGCACAATTTTTTTGTTCATATACATGGTCAGAGGAAAAACGCAGGATAGATTTAAGTGAATTGACAGTTACAAATTCAGCGGTTGCTATAAAACTAACATCGTACGCAGACCCTTTCCTCAGAATAAAATCAAAAAATGATTATGCCCAGTTGAGCGGTTCTTCGTCGTCTTCTTAACTTCAAAGTTTACCAAGGTAAAAAAAATCCAACTAGTTTTTCAACAGAATTTTGCATTCTTTTTCATGGACGCTAAGCTGTACTGGCGCTTAATAGCATTATTTTCTAAAATGTTTTTATCAACTAAATTTTCATATGTTTAAATTATCCATTTAAATTGAGTAAACTAAACTGTTATTAAATTAGTTTTAAATGGTTCCAAGCAGGCTTCTGTTGGGTTCCTAACTATGTCGAATTTTATTTCTTTTGTAGTATTTTGTGTGCAGCAATTATTTCTTCCACCACTACTCAGTTTTACTACAAAAATGTTTCATAAAAACCAAAAAAGCTTACAGATAATTGATGTAATTGATGTACTCTCCTAATGGTTGGTCCCCTACAGGGCTTATGTAGTTGTTTTCACAGTTAAATTTTACTGTGGTCTGCGCATCTAAAGATAGCAGATTAAAAGTTGGCAAAGAAAGAGAATTTCTAGAATTTTTAAATAGGGACGGCCTATTATATTTTTTTAAAATTTTACTGATTAGTAGAGTCTAGACCAGTATACAGATAAAGCCTGGAAAGGTGAATTTTGCGCCAAGTTACATCCCTTAAAGCTGCAAAATTGCTAGTTGTCGCTTGAAATACACCTCTTTGGACTTGTGATTTAGCCTGCCTGTTCTTTTAACAGTTTTTTATATATTCGATTTCTCATATTTCTAAACGTATATTAATTGTTCTAATTCTGATAAAAAATCACACAGACATAGTAAAAATAATGTTTAAAACAAAAATAAAAGAAAAGGTGTTTTTAAATTTTTTGAAAAATTTTGTGTAGAATTTCTTGCTCTACAACATATTAAATTTTGGTGGTGGCAATTTTTCGGTATTGAGAGTCAAGAGCCAGAAAGGATTGTGAAGTTGGAAAAAAACCTGCTGTTTTTACAGAAATCCCATGTATTTTACAAGACGAATCCGTTCTGGACCGCTCCTGAAAGCCGCAGACACCCGTGATAAAAACCTGGTATGCTTCAAACGTTGGAAATGTGTTACAAAAGTTGTATTTTACTTCAAAATGTTAACAAATTATTATTCTGCATGTAAGAACTTGCTTTCATCCCAGTGCCGTCTGCTTCTTGTACTTTGTTCTGCTAAAATTATACACTATTATACATTTTAGAGTCAAGAAGAAGTTAAAAAGCCTGGTTAACTGCTGAACTGAGGTTTACCTTAGACTTTCCGTGTTTTTGGAGAAACACACCACACAATATCAAAAAAGAAACAAAAATTTGAGCTCGTGCAAGCAAAACTTCAACAAGTGCACTAGGATCATAATTTTAAGAGTCTAGAAGCTACAGAATACAAGAAGCAAAAAACATTAGAATAGAATCTACTTCTTACAAATCCGCAGGATGATGGTTTGTTAATATTTTGAAATAAAATACAATTTTTGTAACAGATTTTAAACGTTTAAAGCACATCAGATTTTTACGAGAGCGGTCTACAGCTTTCAGAAGCGGCTCAGAGCTTACCGTAAAAACAAGAAATATTTAATATGCATTTAAAAATCCAGAAGTAAGAAATCGTATAACTAAAAACAGTTAAATCCTATTAAGAACAGGCTAAATTACAAGTCTACAAAGGCTGGTATGTCAGGCGACAACCTGACAAATTTTGCAGTTTTGAGGCGTAACTCAGCGGGGAACTCATTATACATTTACATATACAGGGCCGTCCAATTCTAATTTGGTGTGAAATTTTTTGGAACCGAAATGTCATTTATTATGGCTAAATTCCAGCGGCATTAAGAGATGATCCGCGTGAACTCCGTAAAAGTAAGCTAAACTTCTAAGTAACTTGTGTGAATGATGTTGTATATTTTTTAGTATGGCCCAATCTGTTTGTGTTCATAATTTCATGTTGTGATCGCCATTTTCAGTCGAGATTTCAGCCAAAATATGAGAGTGATTTCAATTTTTACATATACTTCTTAACAGTTTTACTGCAATAAATTTGTTAATTGTCTATGTACCTTAGTTTTTTTTATTCACTGTAATTTACGTTCAAAGTATTTTAAGAAAACCTAAGAAGGACAAAAATAAAATTATAGGTGGTCGAGAAAGACGGTCATTAAATGGTAGGAGGAAAAAATACAGTAGCCTGGTAGTTAAGAAAACTTTAGAAAATCCTAATAAAAAGTACCAGATACTGAATTGAAAGTGAAAATAATGACGGGGAGAAAAAGCAGAAATATATTCTATGTCTAACTAGTGGAAAAGAAGAAGATTGAGAATATTGGAAAAAAAAGAATCTAACTATTTGAAAAAAAAAAAGCTTATAACTTCAAAAAAGCCTATTGCCGGAACAAAAACTTATTATCTGTGCAATAAAATAAGTTTTAATGTTTATTCAGCCGTAGTAGTATTTGATATTTTCCTCTTTTTCGCTGTATTTAAACCTTGTTTTAGAGAGAAAAAATACAAGAACCATACTGAAATGAGACTTACTTTCCAACCTAAAAGGTACATTATTAGAAAAACTTATAATTTGATTTTTGTAAGAATTTTGCAAGTTTAGGCAAACACTTGGCAGAACCCAAAAAAAAATAAAAAAAAAAAGTTGTAGATAGATGGACAAAAAAAAGTTATGTTTACGCGAAAGGTAACAAAACCAGTAAACTAAAAAATTGAACACAGTGAGTGGTGCAAATTCGGCCCCCCCCC